GGGGGGGGGGGAAGAAAGGAGCAAACGCAAAATGTTGTGCCATGTATCGTGCGCGCGCTTTGAGTAGACGACCCTCCCTCTCCTCCCTCTCTGCTTGTAGCGTGCGTGTGCGCGTGAACGAGAACGAGAGAGAGAGGGAGAGAGAGAGAGAGAGAGAGAGAGAGAGAGAGAACAAGAGAACGAGAACGGAAAGGGATGGTGTTCGCGTTTGTGCGTGTTTCGTACTCCGAGCCGTGGGTTGTGCTTATTTGCACGGGTAATACGCCCCCTTCCCCACCCGTGCGTGCGTGCGTGCGTGCGTGTTTGAGGTGGGGCGAGCGGCTCTCTGACGGACGGGCACGCATTTATTTGGGTACAAAAGGCTTCGCGATCGCTCTTCCTTACGCCTTCCTTTGCCCGGCGGTGCCCCGCGGCCCTCGCGGTTGGAGCGGAGCGTCTCAATGATGGATGACTCGCTACACACCTTTGCTCACCTCAACCTTATCGCGGCGACGACCTTGTTGCCCGCCATATTTTCAAACTGCCTTTTCTGCTATACTTTGGTGACGCGCTCGTCTTATCGCTTTTCCGTATGGCGGGGGAGGGGGGGGGGGCAATTTTTCCTCATATGAAACGGTGTAAGCACGCACTTCCGGATATGCGCGTGGGTTTACTTCCGGCCGTATCGTGGCTGAGCGAGGAGAGAGAGAGAGAGAGAGAGAGAGAGAGAGAGAGAAACACCCGGGATGGGGATTACAGATCCTGTGGCAGAGAGGTGGTTTAGAACCGGCAAAGACGAGCTTGGCTGAAGAGGTAGTTTCCAAGTTCTGTAGGGTGCGCAGCGCAGCTCGGCCTTGAGTCGAGGGCTACCTCTGCTTTACTTTGTCACATTAACGACTTTTCTCTCGCTCTCTCTATCCCTCTCTCTCTTCCCTCTTTGGCATTCTCTCGCTGTATTCTCTTTTGCAGGCGCGGTGCGTGAAAATAACGCGCCCTATATACTGCAAATACGTTTAGAGTCGGCGACTCTTTCGGCGGTGGCTGGCGCGTGGCGTAGCCAGCTGTACGTTGGCGCGAGTCGTGCAAGTGCGCTGGCGCTGTCGAGTTAGAGAGAGAGAGAGAGAGAGAGAGAGAGAGGGGGAGAGAGAGAGCGGAAGGCGCACGTCGAGTTCCGTATTTATGTAAGCCCTCTGCTGAATTCGCGCGCGCGGCGAAAAGAAGGTAGTGGCCCCGGGCTGGTCGCAGAGAGAGGGGGATGAAGAGGAAGGGAAGGGGGAGGGCCCAGTGGGGCAGCGCACGCTGGCGGGCTGGCTTGTGGGGCCTTACTCCGGGGGTAAGGAGGAGAGAAACATGTGGGAGCAAAGAGACGGCTACCGTGCAAAAATCGATTTCAAGTTGAACGTGGCTCCTCTGGGGCTCTCTGCCGACGGTGTGCCCGGGCCCGCCCGGCCCGCCAGGGGCTCCCGCGCCTCGCCACGCGTTGGAGTAGCGTGGCAGCGTAGCGTATGCCCGTCCAAGGTCTCTTAAATTGTTGATCAGCAAGTCGTGCTGCGGGGGTCGGGCAGGGCCGGGTTGGCACGGTGGTAGTTCCCGGTCCACCCCGCCCCGCCTCGCCCGGCCCTTCCTCGCCACGCCACGCCCCGCCCCGCCCACCGGACCTCAGCTTGGCCCCAGCAGGTGTCCTCCCGCACGCGTGCTGCCCTGCTGGGTGGCAAAGGTATTGCCGCAAAAATTTCTTTTTCTCACTTCCAAATAATTGTAAATAGACCAAGAGATATTCATTGCAGCAAGAAATATTTACTCGCCACCTCTGTGCGTAGTTTTACGAGGCTTATCTATCCTGCGGTCCTGTAGTGCCCCGTACTCCGCCCCCGCCCATTTTGCTCTCTTTTTCGTTATCACTCATGCGCTCTGACGAACAACTCGCCTTTTTTTTGATGGCCGGTTTTTCTCTTTTTTACTGGTTATTTTTTTGAGGGGGGGGGGGGGGTACTGCCCTGAGAATGAGAGTGACTGCAAACAAAAGAGGGCCGCGGCCCGGCGTTGTTCTGCGACACAATTCGGCCATTGTCCCTCAGTAGCATCATATTGCCGCCGCTGTCCATTGAAGGCCTTTTGCCCGACAGCGGAAAGGTTTGTTGAAAGAAAAAAAAAGGAAAAAGGAGGGGAAGGAAAACAACGCAAAGTTAAATAATAGTATTTTCCACTCTGAGACAACTCCGTATCACTGTTGGCTATTGTGCCCCCAGTGCCCCTGCTCCGGTCCCGACCGAGCCGACCCAGCGGCCAAACTGGTTTCCGCTCTTCCATGGCAGAAACTGTCGGCGTTTGCTGCTGATGCTGCTTTCGGCTTCGGGAGTGTTTTCGCCAGGATGGAAACGGAAGTAGAGTGATGGGAATATCGGTTTATCGGGCACTGTGTGTGTGTTTCGTATGTGTTTAAGTGTGTGACTGTGTGTGTCGCTTGCAACCTCAGGCTAATATAGGAAAATAAACGAGAAAACAAGTCACAGAAATAGATGCATTTTAACCGGATCGAACCTTTGCTGAAGAATCAAAATGTACTAATTATGTCCTAGGGGTTTGCATAAAAAATTTGGGGGGTGCTAAATTAAGTCGCTAAATCGCTAAACCATTAGTACATTTAAAAGGTGCGTTACTGCACCTATATTTTTCCAGTGTAAAATTCGATTCATACACCCACTTCTGGAATGTCTCTTCTTACCCATGCTCTCGCACTTAGTGTACTTCGTGAAAGATTACTGGCGCGGTTTCCTACGTGTCGTCTCTGTTTAACATTATTTTCATCATACGCTTCTCGCCCCTGGCAAAAGGGTTCAAATAACGGATGGCGTCTCTTTCAACTTTTTTGCTCGTAAATGAGGCTAACGAGCTCTTTCTTCCCACCTTATTTTGGCTTTTTATTTAAAGAATAATTGTAAACATTGCCAGGCAATCACAGACATCGGGACGCACAGCAGGACGCACAGCATTTTTAATATTAACTGTGATCATCATTGATCACATGTTTGCTACCCCAAATCTTTTCCTGTTTTTTTGTTTTTTTTTAGAGTATGCGGGTCTGGGCAAGCCCGACGGCAGGGCGGATAAATCAAAGTTGGTTTATTTTCTATAAAAGAGAGAAAGTGCGTAACATATAACGACTCTGAAATATGTAAAGTCAATAACTCCCCGGACGATGGAACGCGTAACGGGATACACGTTTGAAGAGGCGGGGATAATAGTCCATCAGAATTCGTAGGGATTCCATCAGCAATTTTTGCGTGACAGAGCGTCTATCGTTGTGTTTGTCTGAAACGAAGGGAAGAGACTCTCCAGGGACACGTCACTCGCCGCAAATGTGGCTAAAAGTCTTCTCGCGCAGGAAGCGAAAGTGCGCGGCCCGGGGCCTTTCTCTCCTCAATGACGTCATCAGTGATGTCACCAGATATGGAGGCATCTGTCAGGGCGGGGGGTAGAGAGGATGTTGGGGAAGGGCAGGGGAAGAGGGCAGGGAAAGGGGATCGAAGTGGTAGCATGTGGGGCGGGGGCCACCGCGGCGGGCGGGGTGACACGAAGGGTGGATAGCAATGGGGAGGAGAGAGAGGAAGAGCGGCAGGGAGGGAGAGAGAGAGAGAGAGAGAGAGAGAGAGAGAGAGGAAGAGAGGAAGAGAGGAAAGCAAGTGGAGCAGAGAGGGAGAGTTGGTGGAGGGGGTATAATGGGGATGGATGGAGATGAAGGTGGCGCCGCCTGGTGTTGGTGCGAGGAGGCTGGCCTGGCATTAATATATGGCTTAAGTGGTGGCCGCGCCGCCCCCACGCTGCCCCCGCCGCGCCGCCCCCACGCCGCCCCCGCGCCGCCCCCGAGCCGCCCCCGCGCCTCGCACCAAGTGAGCCATCGGCCTGTCGCCACCCGCGCGGTATGAAAATTTGAGCGGGCAGCAGCATTAGTAGCAGTAGCAGCTGCAGCAGCAGCCAGCCACAATTTAATTAATCTGAGCTTCTGTGCGTCCCGACCCCCTTGTACGTTACGGGTCCCCTCCACAAAGCTGGGCCCCCCGGCCCGCCCCATCCCCCACCCCTACCCCTCTCTCACACAGCGTCCTTATGCCTACCCTCCCTCTCGCTTGCTCTGTTGTGGGCCGTCGTATCCTAGAGATTTCTTGTCCTGCGCCCCCATCGAGGAGTCCGATGGCGTGCGATCGCCACTGCTCTGCGCTGCGGTAATGTGACTCCGCACCGCCCGTCTGCCCGGAGCGCCCGGTGGGTAGGCAGGCCCGGCGTGCAGCGGCGCACCGCGGGCTGGCCTACCCGCTCAACGGCAGGCGGGCTCTGGCCGTAGTGATTTTTTAAGTCGGAAATTTTTCGTAAAAAGAAAAAAAGAAAATTGAAAAAATCATAATTTTTGTAAATAGTTGTTGAAATTATTTAGAAAAAAATATAGTTAAATGCCGAAAAGAATGGACATTTTTCACGTGGATACTTTTTAGAAAATTAAAATCCTTTCGATGCCCTCGACGTGTGTAAACTGCCTCTGTGTGTGTCAATTGTTTCATTTTCGTGCTGAAACTCATCTCGTGTTGTATTTTTCGTCTGTTGCAGGCAACTGAACTAGACAGGTGAGCGTGGCTGTTGGTTGCACGAAGACTCTCTTCATCGGGTGCGAGTGGGCTGTCATCGTGTACCCACGGCCAGCAGAGCGCCGTGTTAGTAAGTGCACCGTCGTCCTTCTTGCTGTGCCCGCTCCCGCTCCCCTCTCCGCCAACCCCTGGCACATGCCAGACGTCCTGCGCGCCCCCAGTCCGGCTGGCCCCACCCCGCCCTTGAGACTCCAGTCTGTCCCAGCCATGACTTCCCTTTGAAGGGCTGCCGATAGTATTCTTTATTTTCCCCGCCCCCTCCCCCAACCCTTCGGCGTGACGTCGGGTATTTCTTTGGGCGCTGCTTGGGCCCACCACTCTACTCTGCCGAGGGAAGGGAAAACAATATGCTTGCCACAAGAATTGGTTTTGAGTTTCTCTCCCCCAGTGAAGCCAGCCATGCTGGGAGTCCCTTTCCATATTTTTTCACTTTTCCTTTCTAACCCCTATTTCTCTTCTTTCCTCCTCTCTCTGCCTCTTTCTTTCCCTCTTCCCCCATCCCTCTCTCCTCTCGTTCTCTCCCTCCTCCCTCGCATAGTCCTTCCCCTTTATTATGGTGTGATATGGCTGTACTTTTCCTCATTGCTTCTAACTCCTTTCGAGCGTGTGCCGCTGACGCCACCTGCCTGCTTCATATTATTGTTTGATGACTGAAGTGAGTGCGAGGAGAAGGCAGCGTTAGCAGCAATGTGTATGATGGCAGTAAAATGTTCACGTGAAATACACTGCCGAATTGACGATCGCAAAGCCATCCTCTGCTTGAATACAAAAACACATAGCCGTCCTTTTTTGATTAAAAATGGGTTTTCATATTTGTTAAAGGAGGGTTGTTAACGTTTTTCCTAATCCCGTCGCGCGAGCTTCATTGTCAGTCACCGACTTTATCTCTATGTTGTCCAGCCGAATTGTTGCCTGCAGCAGCATGGACGTGCTCGGCAAGCCAGCGCTGCGGGGTGTGGCGGGGCGGGGTTTGGTGGGGTGGGTGAGGCGGGGCACTGGACAGCTATAATGCCGGCAGGCCCCAGCGCCTTTGTTGTCTGAAGGTCATACGCTGTCACTGCCACACAGCCAAACGCGATGCGGCTGGAGCTGCTGGACTTAGTTGGGAGCTCCAGCGACAGCCAGGAAGACCACTGTAGCGTTTTTATGAGGCTCATATATTTTTTCGCTTCTTTTCGAAGTTGCACGTGTTTTTCAGTCGGCTCGTTTGAAACCGACCCTCCGTCGACTGTGTATTTCTATTAATGGTGTCGTTGAGTGAGTTCGTGTGGAGTGTTTGAGTGTGAGCGAAAGTTTGATAGAAATAATTGAAATTCAGAATTATTTACTGTCAATGTAAAAGGACCAAAGAGAGGGGGGTGGGGGTGGGGTTGAGATGGAGAAATATGGAGAGAGAAGGGGGGATGGAGAGAGAGAGAGGATGCATGTCGGCGGGAAAGTTGTGGCGTTATTCAAGTCGCTGACGCAGATCC